TGTTTGGGACCAATAGCTAATAGAGTTTATTTAATTATAATAGATTCGTTTTCAAAGTGGCGTGGGATTTATGAAATGAAGAAAATTGATACGAAAACAACACTTGAGAAGTAACGAGATTGTTTTTCTCGATTTGGATTACCAAATGTGATAATTTCAGACAATGGACCTCAATTTGTTAGTGAGAGTTTGAGGTGATTTGTAAAAATAATGGAATACTGGAAAATTTAGGTAGAACACGTTTTGAATAGAGGTTGGTAACTGTGCTAATTTGGTTCAGCATTAATTATTTTCTCATGTTTGAAATACGGAAACGGGGAATATCCTATGCATGTGCATTTATTAGTACACCCAGTTCTTATTCTTTACTACTGTATTTCGTTAGTTGTAGTCGTATTTCTTGTGTAAGAACAATGAGTGCAACTGAGTGAAACTGTACAAATAAAAGATACTGTGTTATGGTTAGCTAGTACGCGAAATACAAAGGCAAGTAAATCAAGATGATTTACAACGACGAAAAAAAAAGTTTACTGAAGCTGAGTTAGAGTACATTGTTGACCATTTATCAGAAATTTTGAACGAAAACTACTTTTCCAGTGACGATGACCTTTAAATAGAGACTACGCACCTTCCGAGAACGAACCTACACATTAGCGAGTTTGGCTGATTTATCACTTAATGATTCGGGCCCTTCTACTGATGATGAAATAAACTCAAATGGTTCTACACCTCTTGCTACACCAGCTTTGCGGTCTGAGTCTGATAATTAGTCAGATTGGACTGACACGGAAACTGATCCCTTAGGTATTCCGTCCACGGGGCAACAATGCCAAATCTATTGACTACTTCAGATTATTCTTTGACGATGATATAATTAATAAAGTTGCAACTGAAATAAATAATCGTGCAACAACATCAGTGCCGGTTGCAGAAAACACGAGAAAAAAGTCTAGGAAATGGAAAGATGTGACGCCACCTAAAATAACCAAATTCATTAGACTCTGTCTTTTATCTGGAACTACACACTTTCCTCGGTTGTCAAAGCAATGGAGTTCAAATTTCCTTTACTTTCACCCGGTTTTCGGAAAATGTATGTCCAGGAATAGGTTTTGCGATATCTTGAGATTTTTGCGATTGGTAAAACATGACATTAATAATATTAATGGACAGAGTGATAAAAAATATAAGAACAAGAACAAATAAATATCAGACAGTAGTAGGTTATAAAAGGTTGGAACCAGTAAAAATAGATAATTTACTATATGCTAACGTAGTGATGATAGCAGAGAACCATAAAAAGGCAAGGAAGTTGATTGAAAAATGGACAGAAGAAATTAAAGTATCATTATATGAGTCCTTGGGCAGTATAATATACAATATCATAAGATGAAAGGATAGATTTAGACATAAATGCAAAAATGAGGAAAACAAACAACGTATACCATACTCTAGACAGAACAATTTTTGGGAAGGAGATAGATAAAAAGATAAAATTGAAAGTGTACAACGCGGTAGCAGTCCCAATATTAACATATGCCATTGAATCATGGACACTCCAAGATAAACAAGAAGGAAAGATCACAGCAATGGAAATGAAATTTTTACGGAAAATAGTGGGGAAGACGAAGAATACTGGGAGTAGATCAAGAGGAGATAATAAGCAAAATAGAGAGAAAGCAACTAAATTGGTACGCCCATATAATTAGTATGGAACATAACACAATAATAAAAAAGGTATTTGAAGCAAAGAATAAGGATAAGAAAAAGATTGGGAGACCTAGGAAGAAGTGGGAGGAAAGAGTAGCAGAAGTTCGGAAGAAGACTCTAGCAGATAGAGCAACTAGCCAGGAACTGGAGGGAGTGGAAGAGGTGGATGGAAGAATAGGAAAATGATTTATCCGACGCCATCAGGCATAAGGATCAGGAGAAGAAGAGAAGTAAAACATCGCGATATGGATACGAACGACCGTTTATATAAAATACGACCTATTTCAGAAAAAATTATTCAAAACATTTTGCAGTTGGTTTCTTCAATGAAACAACTTTCTATAGACGAATATATGATTTACGGTCGAGGACGTCTAAAATTTAGGCAGTATATTATGAACAAGAGGCATAAGTACGGAATAAAGCTGTATGAGCTTACCACATTTGATAGTTTTGTTTTGAATGTATTTATATATACTAGAAAAGATACTATAATAAACAATGATCAACAGCATTCCCATACGTTTTCAGTCGTAACGGAGTTACTAAAAGACTATTTGGATGAAGGGCATGAAATATACCTTGATAATTATTACACTAGTGTCCGGTTAGAAAAATATTTGTTCAAAAGGAAGATTAAACTTGTAGGAACTTTGCGAAAATTTAGAAAGGAGAAGTATGGAAAAGAAAAGGTCCAGTGTTGGTTACACACTTGAAGGACAAGAAAATGGTGGTTATGACATCAACAATGCATAAACACCGAATGGTAGAAGCAACAAATAGAAAAGGAAAGCAAGTAATAAAACCAGAGTGTTCTCGTCTATAATAAGTAGATGTCCGGGATAGACAAATCAGACCAGATGATGGGATACAACTTATCGCCAAGGAAAACCATAAGATAGTACAGAAAGGTGTTCTTTCCTGTTATAGATATTATATTATATTATAGATATTATCTTATAGATATTGCAATGTGGACGTATATTTTTAAGAATTACGACACGATATGCGTGTTAAATTGTAGCTTAAAGATTGTAGTTTATGATATGATATAAAAACTATAAGTGAATATCATTGAAATTTCCAGAAAAAAATTATTAAAGAAGAAAACGTTAAATTTATTAAGCAAAATAATATGAAATTTTCAAAAAATCATATCGACTGTATTTTTAAGAATCACGGTTCGATATGTATGTTAAATTGTAGCTTAAAGGTTGTAGTTTATGATATAATATAAAAACTATAAGTGAATATCATTGAAATTTTTAGAAAACAATTATTAAAGAAGAAAATATTAAATTTATTACGCAAAATAATACAAAATTTTCAAAAAATCATATCGACTGTATTTTAAAAAATCACGTTACGATATGTATGTTAAATTGTAGCTTAAAGATTGTAGTTTATGATATGATATAAAAACTATAAGTGAATATCATTGAAATTTTCAGAAAACAATTATTAAAGAAGAAAATATTAAATTTATTAAGCAAAATAATACGAAATTTTCAAAAAATCATATCGACTGTATTTAAAAAAATCACGTTACGATATGTATGTTAAATTGTAGCTTAAAGATTGTAGTTTCAGATATGATATAAAAAGTATAAGATAATATTATTGAAATTTCCAGAAGAAAATGTTAAATTTATTAAGCAAAATAATACGAAATTTTCAAAAAATCATATCGACTGTATTTTAAAAAATCACGTTACGACATGTATGTTAAACTGTAGCTTAAAGATTGTAGTTTCAGATATGATACAAAAAGTATAAGATAATATTATTGAAATTTCCAGAAAAAAATGTTAAATTTATTAAGCAAAATAATACATTTTCAAAAAATCGTATCGACTGTATTTTTAAAATTCACGATACGATATGTATGTTATATTGTAGCTTAAAGATTGTAGTTTATGATATGATATAAAAACTATAAGATAATATAATTGAAATTTCCAGAAAAAAATTATTAAAGAAGAAAATATTAAATTTATTAAGCAAAATAATACAAAATTTTCAAAAAATCATATCGACTGTATTTTAAAAAATCACATTACGATATGTATGTTAAATTGTAGCTTAAAGATTGTAGTTTCAGATATGATATAAAAACTATAAGATAATATAATTGAAATTTCCAGAAAAAAATGTTAAATTTATTAAGCAAAATAATACGAAATTTTCAAAAAATCATATCGACTGTATTTTAAAAAATCACGTTACGATATGTATGTTAAATTGTAGCTTAAAGATTGTAGTTTCAGATATGATATAAAAAGTATAAGATAATATTATTGAAATTTCCAGAAGAAAATGTTAAATTTATTAAGCAAAATAATACGAAATTTTCAAAAAATCATATCGACTGTATTTTAAAAAATCACGTTACGATATGTATGTTAAATTGTAGCTTAAAGATTGTAGTTTCAGATATGATATAAAAAGTATAAGATAATATTATTGAAATTTCCAGAAGAAAATGTTAAATTTATTAAGCAAAATAATACATTTTCAAAAAATCATATCGACTGTATTTTTAAAATTCACGATACGATATGTATGTAGCTATAATATAGCTTAAAGATTGTAGTTTATGATATGATATAAAAACTATAAGATAATATTATTGAAATTTCCAGAAAAAAATTATTAAAGAAGAAAATATTAAATTTATTAAGCAAAATAATACGAAATTTTCAAAAAATCATATCGACTGTATTTTAAAAAATCACGTTACGATATATGTTAAATTGTAGCTTAAAGGTTGTAGTTTATGATATGATATAAAAACTATAAGTGAATATCATTGAAATTTTCAGAAAACAATTATTAAAGAAGAAAATATTGAATTTATGAAGCAAAATAATACGAAATTTTCAAAAAATCATATCGACTGTATTTTAAAAAATCACGTTACCATATGTATGTTAAATTGTAGCTTAAAGATTGTAGTTTCAGATATGATATAGAAAATATAAGATAATATAATTGAAATTTCCAGAAAAAGTTATTAAAGAAGAAAATGTTAAATTTATTAAGCAAAATAATACGAAATTTTGAAAAAAATCATATCAACTGTATTTTTAAGAATCATGATCTGATGTATGTTATATTGAAGCTTAAAGATTCTAGTGAATAGGTGCTGTGGTTTTTAATAAAAAAAATATGACCAAGTGATGTCAGCATCCATTCAAATATAATTCTACAAAACCGAAAATTGTAAAAGTCATTCAATAAATATTAAAAGAGAAATAAACAACTTAATTACATTAAATGAAATACAACAATACCTTTATTTGATTCAGTTTGAAAATCATCTTTGGATGAAAAATCTCCAGAACCTTCCAAACTTTCATTAGTAGAAGATACAGGTACTTTTTCTTCATGAACATTAATTTCTTGGTTTTCCTCATAGAGTAAAAACTTATTTAATCTTCCGATTGAAATTGATGCTTCAGCAACTTGACCAATACCTTGCGGAAAAAACACTGTCATTGATTGTCGGAGAATACTGTAAAATGAGGTGATAACAAACACTTGTTCGGCTGTTATTCGATTTCCAAATAGTATATAAGCGAAAACGCTTAAAAATATTGAAATTCTTGTGGAAAACATTATAAATGATAATAAAACGCCTCGAACGTAAGATGCACCTTGAATCGATTGAATTTCACGTCTAAAAAAAATGTAATTAATTAAAATAAGTTGGTGGAAAAATTAAATAATGTACTTTCTTGCTAAAGCCACAAGTTTTTCAAAAGGTTTCTCCCAAGTATACATTTTAATAACTTGTATTCCGGAAATAATTTCGTTCATTAATCTAACACGTTCATCGGTTCTTAAGGCAGTTTTTAATCGTAATATTGAAGTACGTTTACCCAAAAAAACTGTTTAAAAGAAATAAATAAAAAATGAAACCTGAATTAAATAAGTTATTTAAATTACTTTGTAATGGTATAAACATAAGTAACGTGGCCACACCAATAACAGCAGATATTCCAATTTTTAAATACATTAAATAAGTAATGACCAATGTTTCCAAAGGTCCAACCCATAATTGATGGATAAATAAAACTGCGACGTCGAATCGATTGACATCATTTGATAGTAAATTAACCATTTGACCGGCAGTCGTTTGTCCCAAAGCTGTTTTGCTTAATCTTAATGATTTTCGATAGATTAATGAACAACAAGCGACGCGCATTTTCATACCCACATGGCATATTGCCATCATATACGGGTGAATTAAGAGGACGTAGAAAAAGGAACATAGTATCACAGCTCCAGCGTATAAATAGGCTTCGTCTCGTGTGATTTCCGTTTGATTTGGGACGTAGTAAAGGATCAATTGGCCTAGAGCTATCGGTTGAATAAGTCTGAAATAAAAAAGTTTCGTATAAATTAATTAAAATAATTAGTTGTGGTATTTACCTGATACCAAGTTCTCCAATCGCTAAAACCAATCCGTATAACATAAATTCTAAACCGAAAACTTTCCATAATGCTTTCCTCAATAAAGGCATTCTACCAGCTTTTTTCGCTTTGATTTCTTCCGATTGCCAAGCAATTTCCAAACGATCGCCCAAAACGGATGACTTATGCTTGGAGAATGTTTTATATAAATCGTTTTCTTCCAAATCTCTTTGGAATCCATTAAAAAATGTCGGTAATGTATACCTGCGATAATAAAAGTTATCAAATGTATAGAAATGAAATAGGATATAAGGAATTTTGCGTATAAGCGGTTCGGTTATTGTAGATTAGAGATTATTTAAATATTTACTCGGAAAGATAAACTTATTAAGTTAAAAATAGAATGTTCAATAAAATAATATCCATATTAATAAAATATTTGCGTTAATATTTTTAATAACATACCAAAATGTTAAAGCTGACAAAAAATTTGCATTTTCTCTAGGATTTGGTTTCCTTTCCCGTTTAACGCCACCGTCCATGCCATAAGCTGATAATTAAATCAAATAACATTAAAAACAAATAATTTACCAACAACACAAGAACATTATTGTTATATTTTACATTTTACATATTTTACATTATCATTGTGAATGTCTACAGTGTAATTACGCTCCAAATATTCACAAATGGAAAGTAATTAATGATGTATACAGCAAAAAATATAAAGTAGGTTAATGACAACATTTTAATTACTGCGTTTTGTCTAAGCGTCGTATCTTCATATTTTTCATATTTCATTCATTCAAGATTCTAGTTTATTATACGATATAAAAAATGTAAGATAACATAATTGGAATTTCCAGGAAAAAATTATTAAAGAAGAAATTGTCGAATTTATAAATCAAAAATATTGCGAAATTTTCAATTTAATAAGCATTTTATTGTTTTTTAATATTAACAATTTTCCCTTTAATACATTCTAATCTATATTATTAATATATTATTTTCACCCTCTATCCTCTTCCTCCATTTCCACACCCTCGGCTCCTCGGCCCAATCATCCCCTCATCCATCCCTTTGTCTCCTCCCCCCCACAACCATTCTCATCCATCGTTTCCCCTCTCCCCCCTCTCCTAAGATCTGCCCTCGGTCCAACTCCTCCTCCATCAACTCACTGCACCCATTCAACATATGTTCTAACGTTTCCCATTCCTCCCTGCATAGCCTACACCACCTCTCCTCATCGGCCATCCAGTATCTGTTAGCTCTCTCTTCGTTTCCACAACGGAACCTAGCCACCAACTTCTTCCCTTCCTCATCTCCTTCCAATAATAAGTATCTAGGCAGCCCCTCCGTAATTATGTCCCTGTACCTTTCGTTATACCTTCCCTCTTTTATTTGTGTCCTTCTTTCCTGTCTCTGCACATCTCGGTCCCTATCTCTCAGCTCCCTCCACATCTCCCTCCCCACCCTTCGTTTACTATTTATCTCAGTTACCGAGTAGCCCGCTCGTCTATAATAGTTGTCTCTGTCTCCTTTCCCATATCTGATCTTTCTCTCTCTAATTTCCCTCCAACACTCCCCCAAGATCCCGTAGTTTGGCCCCCTTCTATTCTTTCTTCATATTTCACTGCCCTCCTGCCCGCCTCCACTCTGATCTTATCCACCTTTACCTCTTCCCTCACTATATACCCCGGTGTTTCTCTCGCCACCCCAAGCACCCATCTCCAATATCTAGCTTGCACGTCCTCCAGCATTGCCTGCTCTCTCCATCCTCATACCTCTGCCCCATACATCATCACACTGCTAACCATACCTTCAAACATAATCTTCCTCGCTGCCACATTCCTTCCAAAGACTCTCTTCCCCCAACCTCATACTTGTCCCATCACCTTATTCGCCTTTTTTGCCATAGCTATCACATGCGACCCCTCCCTGTTGTCCTTCCTAAACACATACCCCAAGTAAGTATACTCCCTAACCTCCTCGATCTCTTTTCCCTCCCATCTCCAGTTTTCTGTTCTTTTTGTCCCACCCTTACAAAACTTCATCATCCTTGTCTTCCCCACATTCACTTCCAGCCCCTTCCCCCTAAAATATCTTTCCAATGTCTTTATCATATCCTACATCTCCGCCGCTTCTCTCGCCATGACCACGATGTCATTCGCGTATTCAATTCAATTCACTTCAATTCTCTTTATTGTGCTAATAAGAAACTTACACTCTTTACACTCGTCAATCAGTAGTACAACAAAATATCAATTCATTAATTAGAATATAATAAAACGACCCTACAAACCACAAAATTACAGTATACAAAAAAAGAGAAAATGAATCTCAAGCACTAAATAGGCCTACGGAGGTCTCAAGGAATTCCCGTATAGAATAGAATCCCTTCTTTAGCAAGAATGTTTTTAACTTCCCAAGCAACTCGTCCGCTAGAAGAGCACTCACACTATGTGGCAGGTGATTATACAATTTTTGTCCCATGTATATAGGACCTGATTGTGTCTTGCATAACCGCGCAAAGTCTGGGTAGAGGTCTTCTCTCCCACGCGTTTCATACGGGTGAATATCACCATGCACCCTTAAGGAGTTCATGCTCTCCAAGATGTATCCCACGCAGCGAAGGATGTACAGAGATGGAATGGTGAGTATAGACTGCGCAATAAAAGCATTTCTGCAATCATCACGATAACCTAAACCCGTTACTATTCTTACCGCCCTGCGCTGCAGCCCGAACATGTGAGCAGCTTAAGAGGCTGCTCCCCATGCTAGTATAGAGTAAGACAGTATGGAATGAACAAATGCAAAATAAGCACTTTTTACTACTTTTGGCGTAACAGTTACTGCAAGCCGCCTTAGGAGAAATATATTACGGTTAACTTTTTTGCCCATCTCCACACTATGTTCGTGAAAACGCAACGCAGGAGCGGCGATGTAGAGGCCCAAAAACTTGGTTACATCGGGACAAGGAGCGTCAATCTGCCACAATGTGAACGGAAGTGTGACAGTTTTATTTTCATTAAGACAAAGCTCGTTCGCAAGGCACCAGTCCCGCGTCCTCGACAGAGCCAACTCAGCCCCAATTTTTTAGGCCGCGAAAAATTTCGCGAACCTCATTGTGTGTTACTGCTTGCAAGCTAAACATATTAAAATTACTCGGAATAGTGCAAACACTGATATGATCATTTCGTACTCCAGTTAAGTTTCGAACAATAGTTACAGGCATGTTCACAAAATAATTATTTACTTCATCTGGATTCAGATCCAAGCACCGACTCTCTCTGTCCCTCCGCTGAGCATTCATCATTTTCCATGCGGCACAAGATTTGTTACTTGAATTTTCGATAAAAGAGCTAGTCGCGTTAATTTTCATGCTTTTTCTAGTATTTTCTAGTATGCTAACATATGCACCTTTCTACCTCCCACCACCAACCCTCCCATTTGCCCCTTCCCCAATCTATCCTCCAGGTCCGCCGTATACAGTGCAAACAGACTTGGGCTCAGCGGACATCCCTGCCTCAGTCCCTTCGTCGTCCAAAACACGTCGCTCAGCTTATCTCCCACTTTTATCCTAGCCATAGTCTCCATGTATATTTCCTTCACTCTCAGTTAGGTTTTCCGTGATCCCCCTCCTCCCCATCTCCTCCCACAACTTTCCCCTATCCACCTTATCAAAAGCCGCCTTCAAATCTATAAATAGGGCGTACAATTTCCCTCCCTTCTTATCCAGCTCTCTATCTGCCAGATGCTTCAACACGTACACGTTGTCGATTGCTCCCCTTCCCTTTCGAAAGCCTGCCTGCCCATCCGGAAAAATTCCCCCCAACTTCATCTCCTCCTCCAGTCTTCCCAGCAGTATCTTCGTGTATACCTTACTCTAGTAGGTTAATTCCCCTGTAGCTCTCTACCCTTCCCTTATTACCCTTTTTATATACTGGGCAAATTACCCCCACTTTCCATCCCTCCGGAATTTTCAAAAAATCATATTAAATGTATTTTTAAGAATAATGATATGATATTTATGTTAAATAGAAGCTGAAAGATTCTAATTTATGATATCATATAAAAACTATAAGATACCGTAAACTTGGGTGGCATTGGTCCACTTTCAAATTTTACTACCCTACAACTTTGGATAGGAGAAAGATATTTATTTGCTTTTTACTGCAGAAGATATGCCACTAACAGTACTTTCAGCAGGCCAAAAATTAAATTTATCGTAATTTGAAAAATGCCATGTTTTTAGAAAAAAAGTGGTGGCCAAAGCTAGATGACAAAGTTGGGTTACTTTGGCCGACCGCTATTTTAATAATAGCGGTCTAATTTAGTAGCAAAAAAAACAACAAAAATGTGCAAGAAAATAACACTTTTATTGTTTACATAACAAAAGTAATTAAATGTTGGAATAAGAAAACAAAATGAACTTTGAGGATATAAAATAAATAAATATATCCTACCTATAAATAAAAAACAACATAATTGTATTTATTGCTCTCATTAATTGTAAAAAATCCTCTCTTGGAGGGCTGCGGTATATTAATAACCTCTAAAATCGTACCAAAAGATATCTTCAGACGAATTTTAATCTTATAGATTTCTTGTTACTTTTTAGTTTAATTTGAACAACTTGTCCTGGGTAAACTTGCTTTTCATATAAAAATAAAACAAAGTTTCCGTTATTAATACGTTCAATTGTCTTGTTGTCATTGTTGGTGTTGTCAGACCTTTCACGCCAACTTCCTCAGCAAGGTCACAGTAATCTTCAGTCTCCGAAGAAATGGAAATATTACAGGAGAACTCAAAGTCATTGGAAATTCTTCGTCTTGCCTTTTCTGAAGAAATTTTCGTAACTTGACTTGGTTCAGCGATAGCTTTTGGATTTCGTCTTAGTGTCTTGGGTCTGTTGAGGAAACCTTCTATCCTGCAGAAGATCTATTACTGAGGCGCTACATTAAGCTGTACATTTGGGTCTAGATTTTCAATCCCTGGAATTCGGTCTAAAACTTTTCTTCTATTCAAGGGGGATATATGCCAGCATTTACAAATCAACTCTTTAGATTTTCTTTTCCACTTTCTACTAAAGACTTTAATATTAGCAGCAAATCGCTCTGTAAGGTCGGGATGCCGTTGGAAAGTCTCACCCATTCCGAGTTCCGACCCTGGCAAGTTATCTGTGAATTTACATACAGGGTGTACCGTTAAAGGTACGGAGCGACTGTATCTCGACAATGGTAAGGCCTAGAGGTTTGGGAAAAAAATTCTTATAAGCAAAGTGGGCAAGTGGGTAGTCCGTAATTCGACCGCTAGAGGGCGTAATTGCCATAGAGAAACATTAAATTCCCGCTATTTCAGAAAGATAGACGATGAGCTATAACTTTGACATCATTTAGTAGCTTAATACCGCATCGCTTTTGTTTTGCGATATTTCTCATATCTGTCATAATAAGGGAGGGGGAGGCTAATGCGTTTTCAAATGTTTACATTTTAATATCTCCTGGACCATTCAACCGATTTGAATATTTTTGGTCTTGTTTGAAA